TGCTATGAGTATTTGTGTATAACGTTTTGTGTGAACATTATGTTTTTATTTTTCTCAGTTGAATACTTAGAACTGGAATGGATGGGTCATATGGTAGATGTATATTTAGCTTTGTAAGAAACTGCCAGTTTTTCAAAGTACATTGAACCCTTTACATTCTCACCTGCAGAATATACGTTCCCGTTGCTTCACATCTTCACCAACACTTGGTCTATCAGTCTTTTTAACTGTAGCTATTCTAATGTTGTAGTGGTATCTCTTGTGGTTTTAATATGTGTTTCTGTAATAACCAGTGATGTTGAGAATCTTTTCATTTGTATATCTGCCTTTGTGAAATGTATGTTCAAATATTTTGCCCATTTAAAAAAATTGAGCTGTCTTATTTTTATTGAGTTTTAGGGAGATTTAATATATGTACCACTTGTCAGATATTTGTATTTTGAATATTTGTTTCTGTTCTGTTTCTTTCCTTTTCATTTCTTAATGGTGTTTTTAAGAGTAAAAGTTTTAAATTTCGATAAAATCCTAGTTATCAAATTTTTAACTTTTATGATTCGTGCTTTTTGTGTCCCAGGAAAGATTTGCTTAACCCCAAGATCACAAGATTTTTTTTCTTATATTTTATTTTAGAAGTTTTATAGCTTTTACTTTTAGATTTAGAGCTTTGATCCATTTTAAGTTAATCTTTGTGTATTGTGTGAGGTGATTTGGCTGACCAACTTATCACATATTGCCTAAAGTCACTTACATTTCAGTTTCTTTTGAGTATGTTTATCAGTAGTCTCCATTTAAAAAAAATATTTAAGAGGTATTGTCTGTGGAATATACATTTTGTTTTTCCTGTGCAGAATGGTATAATATAATGTAAAATTGGGTGAGTAACTGCAGGTTTAGAGTTTTTGGAAGCCAAAAGAAATCTTTCTCATTTTAACTTTTCCCAATGCTTATTTAAGTATACTGGAATTTCCTCTATTAGCATTATCATCAATATTCTTATATTACCAATAAAAAATTAAGGCTTAGAAATACTAAATTTTTTCAGTCATACAAATTATTGATGCTAATATCAGGTTTGAACTCAGGTCTTCAAATGCCAAATTTTCATTTTAACATATGTGAAATGTAAAAAGGCCAACAATGTTTATAAAAGGGATAGGTCAGATGAGTATGGCATAAATATTAAGTTTCTACTCATAAATAGATAATGTTATATATACATGGGTATCACTATCATATTTATTATTCATTGAGGTCACATCTATTTAACATGGGAAAGTCTTATTGTGTGACTTTTATCCTGCAGACAGTCCAGGCATAATAGTGACAGTGTGCTACCTATTACTTAATATGGTCTATTTTTAAATAGTCTGACTAGAGTTTTCCTATATTGCTTCCTTGGGAGATCATTCCATAACTTAGTCTCAAAGTATTCTCATTTGTCACATGAGTTACCTTTCTTCAGTTGTGATGTATCTTTGCTGTTTCATCCATCAAAAGTTTATAACCAGCTGTCACTCTCCAGGACGTTCACCATACTGTGGCCAGCCTTCCCGTGGCTAGACTTATCCTTTTTAGTTATTTGGTAGCTTTCCCTCATCTCTCTCAGAAATTTCTGATGACAGTTGCCATCTCACATATAGATTCTTTATATCATCTGATGAAATACAAACCTGATTTTAACAGATACTGAAGTCTATAATACTCTGCGAGTGATCAGGTCATTCTCTTATTCCAAGGCCTTTAAGAATCATCTACACCTTCCAAATAAAGCCCAAACCTCTTTGCTTGGCATTCAGACCAATCATCTCAGAAGTAATCTTTATTTCCTTGTACTCCCATTACATCGTCTTCATACTCAACATAAGAGTTAACATATCTTTATAATAGAGTTGCAGTGCACAAGCTCTTAATTTTTGTGAATTCAAGTCTAAGTATAGCTGCAAGAGAATAATTTAAATTTAACTACTTCACTTTTAACCACTAGCCTTGTATCAGTTAACAGAACCCCTGTGAATGATAGGAAATACAGGCTTTATTGTGGGCATCAGCCCTACACCATTGTAGGAGCTGGTCCAGCAGTCCATGTCTGGTGTGGGCCTCTGTCTTATGTTGGGTTTAAAGTCAGTGGGGCCAAGAGTCAGGAAGGAAAGATGGTTATAAAATTGGGCAGAGGGGTGGGGTGAAATTAAGGAAAGATTGGCACTGGTGAGGACAAGCTGAAACGCCCAAAGACAAACTAGAACATGTGAGGACAAATAAGAACCTTCATGTCTCTTATTGCACTCAACTTCAGTGACATGAGTGGCCTTGCAGGATGAGGTGGTGCCTCTGGCCACTGTGTTGAGCATGCACCTAGTAGAGGCTTCAGAGAAGCTGAAGGAGGAGAGCCGGCGGGAGCTGGAGAGCTGGGCCATGCCTACACGGCACGTCCGCAGGTCAGGGGCAGACCCTACAGTCATCTTCAGAGCCTAAAGTTGTCTTTTGCTTTACTTCTGCCTTCCAGATCTCACACAAATTTCTCTTTCAGCTAATCCTAACCTAGAATCAGACAGGGAAGGGAATCCTGGGAAATGCAGTTCTATCTTAGCTAAGTTGATATGGAACCAAACCACACATCCACTTCTGCATAAGCCCTTGAGTAAGCAAGGGATTGAAGATATGCATCTGGTATATTTTCAGCCTGTCTCAGTTCCCAAATACCTCTCATAGTGTAAGCATCTCACAGTGGTGAGTGCAATTCTACTATTTGGTTGTTTCAAGCAACACTGGTTTCCTAATTGCAAACCGACTGTTTCATTACATGCTCGCGTGAAGAAAGTGACCTGAGCCAATGCTGGAGGGAAGGACAGGCTGCATTGGGCCTATGAACCAGGACATGGTGTGTGGGTCTCCCACGTGGCTCCTTCCTAAGAAGATATTCCTAGAGTAATTTTGCCCATATTCAGTTTTCAATTTACACTTTAACTTTGGAACCCAATCCTGGTTTTAGAACCTTCTTTAATAACATTTGTTAAACGGTGAAGGAATTGTGTACTTTCCATGTGTAGGGATTTTCTACTGCTGTTCTTTCTCTTAGCAAATAAATAGCAAAGTGCTCGACACAAATGATACTCAGTAGATATAGGTTAAATTATTTATTGCAAATTTGTATTCTGGTGTTGTGTAATATCAAAACAAGAGTATTGTAAATGTTTTCTTTTTCAGTAGGTTTCCAAGTTGCCCTTAATATGAGCCACCGAATATTGTGGCCTGGGGCTTTGGGACCTGGGTAACAGTGACTGCCCATTCATTGTGGCTTTTGCAAGGTGAGTTGGAGCTTGCAGGAAAGTATATGTACACTGAAGTACTTTGGAAAACTTGGGCCCAATTTGTTTCTTTCAGTGCTTGCATAAATCCAGTACTCTGCTTGTTCCTCTATCTCTCTGTCTCTCTTTCTTTAGTAAATTAACTATAAAATATTATTAAAGTAATTCATACTCTTGGTTAACAGTAAACAAAGGGGAAAAGTGAACATAAAAATTCTGTGAATGCCTTCACCTTCACGTATAATTTCACACTATCCAAAAGTAACCACTGCTAATATTTTTTTGTGTCTCTTTCCTCAAATGTTCTATGTACTTACAAACATATATAGGAATATGCATGTATATTTACATATGTATATTTGAAATAAATAGGATCATATTATTATTAATACTATTCTGCAACAGGTTTTTTCACTTAATATATCTTTAGACATTTAAAATATCAGCACATAAATGTACAGCTTTAAGCAAACGCTCAAAAATGAATTCCAAAGTATGCATTTACAATTTAACTACTTCCCTATGATGAATATTTTAGGTTAATTCTAAGAATTAGTATTACAAACAATGTTGTATGTACATATATCTTTGTATGTATCATGCAGGTATATCCTAAAGTGAATGCTTAGCAGTGGAATTGCATGGTTTGCCTGTGCTTTGTTATCAACTGAAGGGTAAGTATTTTCAGGACATATAATGTTTATAGTTCATTGGAAGTTGCTGGTAAACAAGGGTCATGTGTATCTCCATATCCTCTTTTGTCAAGAGACCTTTGACAAAAGGAAAAGGAGGCCTTGAAAGAAAGGTCTTTGTCTTTATTATTTGTAGATCCTCCTTTGGCCATTTCCATTTCACTAGTAATTTATAACCATCTACTGAAACTGAAGACAGCTTTTTTAGAGACTAAAGGTGTCATCACCATAGTTAACTCACAATCTAATCTATTATTCTAAGAAACTAATATATTTTTATAATTCCATGATTATCTGAAGATAGACTATTAATGCTGATATTGCCACTAAAAATCAGCTGGCTCGACAGTTGTTATCAAGACAGTGTCTCAAAAGAGTTTGCCCATTGCTTCCGGCTGACCCATTCAACAACATTCTCTGCCCGTTTCCCCAAAGGATTTGAGACAGCCTTCTCTGCAAGGACACGTGCTTCAAAATTAAACACCATCATAGACCAAAGGACAAGGGCAGGCGGTAAAAGGGAGAGTGGGAGAAATTATTTTTCTAAGCAACTAGCTTAAGAAAGGCCCCAAATTAGTTCTGACCATCTTAGTAGACAAGATAAAGAGGCTGAGTTATAGAGCTTGCCCTGTTTTAGCACAGTTCTCAGTCCTCTTAGATACAATGTTTTTTTTAATAACAAATATTTTATAATGTTTTGGTATTATCTTGAACGTATTATCTACCCATACTATTTAAAAATAAATATAAAGTTGTAAGTCTCTAGTACAATAGAGAAATTAAAGGTAAGCAAAATAATACATATTTTAACATGTACCGGGGGTACCAAAAAATGTACACATTTTAAGAGATGTTATCTATGCATCACTTTATGAAGCTGAATTGAATTAGGGTAGCAATGATGTTCGCTCAAAAGATGGCGTTAATCAAATGAATGCTAGTGTCATTCATTGTACTGCAATTTTAATAGTTTTTTCCTTTCTTAAAATGTGTATACCTTTTTTTGGCACCGTCTGTATATGTACAGGTATGAGTATGCTGGAAAGCAAAGGAAGTCACCACATGCCTCTACCTATAGGAAGAACCACAGTGAAAGTCATAGCTGCAAATGCAGCATGGGTCATGTGTGTTGGCTACTCAGCTACCACCAGCCTCCCCGATGGTGATGATACAATTTTCCTAAGTGGAGAAGAATTCTTCTTAAATCCTGAAAAAAATGCATACTCTTCCCCCAATTTACATGGAATTGAGTTCTTAGGAAATTAAATGATACTGAATTTGAGCAAAAATTTCTTCGAATTTATAAAGTGGATTGTTTTCTAGATCCATAAGTATTCTTTTTTTTTTTACATGGAAATCTGATGAAATGTTTAAAAATGGTACAGAACGTGGAACAGTCTTGACTGTGTAGAGCTGTCCTGTACATTGCAGGCCGTTGAGCATCCCTGGTTTCTATTCACACTAAGTGCCACAAGTTTCTCTCTCCCATTACCACTGTGACAGCCAACCAGTTTGGAAATCTGCTTGGCATTGTGTTAAAATCAGCATTTCCCATGATCTAGCAATCTACTTCTAGTTATGTGCACATCAGAAATGAGTACTTATGTGCATTGTAAGTTTTGTTCAAGAATGTTTGCAGCAACACTATTCCTAATAGTCCCCAATGCAGACAACTCTAATGTCCCCTCAATAATGCAATGGATACATAAATTGTGCCATAATCTTACAAAAGTCGTACAAAGGAATAATGTGCAACAATAAAACTGAACAAATTGCTCCTACAGAAGCCATGCAGGAATCTCACAATGTTGAGTGGCAGAACCATACATAAAAGAATACATACTACATGATTCAATAAGTTCAAATACAAGCAAAACAAATGTATATTGTTTTTTGGCATAATGCATGGAGAAGGAATGAGGTGTGTTTTTGTGGTGCTGATAGAGTTCTAGTTCTTGACCTGGGTGGGGTTTACAGGTGTGTTCATTTTATGATAATTCATTAGCAGAGGGGAGTGTATGAAGACAGTTCTACAGGATGAGATTCGTAAAGGAAAGGAAAAAAAATGACTGTGATTTTTAAAAAGTCAGCGCCCTCCATTTCCTAGGAGTGGGGGCCAGGAAAAACCAAACCAGAGAAGCTAATTCCAGCTCAAACTCAAATCCTCGGAGATCCGAAGATTCAAGTGTCTGTCATTCAGGGCAAAAGGTATTCCCAGATTTGTACAAGGTGATTACAAAAGTGACCAGTCTCTTCACTACCCAGCATAAGAGGGGAAGGAAAAACCGAAGTTGAAAAACATTAAGTTACTGTCCAACCAGGCAGTCTGGAGCTCCTGAAATCACCTCACAACCTGAGGCCCATATAACCGGGCGGAACCAAGGACCTACTTTGGAACACCTTTTGTTGTGTCCTAGCAACGCACCTCGCCCATGCCTAGGAGGCCTACTCCCTCTCCCCTGTGGGTGGCTCACTCAACTGGGCTCTCTCAATGGTCCTAAGGGCTTGGATTTGCACACTGATTCTGGTGCCATTCAGTTCTCGGGTTCTCTGCTGCTCAGAGAAAGCAGGGGGGAGGGACAGCGAGAAAAAATATTTAAGAAACAAACAAAAAAATTTTTTTCAAGATTTGCTAATTTTTAAACAATTTTAGGCTCATTCAAATCTCCAGGTGGGAAAATTACTTTTGTTCAAACTTCATATAAAGAAGGAAGAAAAGAGACCCGTTGAGGACCTAGCAAGAGCTGACTGGGGACTGGATATGTTGGACACCATTGTCCCTTCCCTGCAGGACCTGGGCAGGCAGGTAATGCCCACACTGCCCTTACTGAGCCAGGAAGGTAAGCACCGTGAGGTGGGGGCACTGGGGCTAAACCTTAACCCGCTTGGGGGCGAGATGGAAGACCTCCTTCTCTATCGCCTCGAGTGGCCATGTCGCCTTGGCAACCAGCGGGTAATCACAGCAGGCTCATGCTGGATGCCCAGGCACAGTTTCTTTATTGACTGTCTTACTAAGGGACAGGGGCTAGCTGAGGGCTTTGATTAAACAAGATAATGTATATACAGCACTTGGCTCCAGGACTAGCACAAAGTAAGTGCTCAGTATATATTAGCTAAAAACAACCACCCCAAAACGGCTCCGTCTAAATTCATGCAAAAGCACCACTACTTCTGTTGCCCTTGGTATCTTGGGATTGTGTTAAGCGAGATGACCATAAAAAGAGCTGGGTGTTTGGAAGAAGAACTGGCAGCTTCCCATTGAAAACTTACTAGCTTGGTTAAAAGCATAGTTTCTTAGAAGAGGCACCCCAAAGTGACACCAAGATCTGCCTGCAACTGATAAGAGCCCTTGAGAAGAAAAGTACTTCAGAAATGGAAGCTACTGTAACTATTAAGTAATTATAACTTAGGGATGTTGCCTAGGTTTTAACCAAATGATTTGAGGAGACAAAATAAATAGGTGTAGATGCATCTTTCTCTTTCCTCTGCATCACTCCTATTTTTTCCTGTTAAAATAATTCCGGAAGAACTTCAAAGATAATGGTTCTATGGATTTAAAAAATATTTGACATATTTAAAATTTTATATATAATTTATTCATTCAAGTAATTTTGAGAACCTACTGTGTGCTAGACAATAGAGAACTGATGGTGAGCAAAAACCTTAGGATTTACAATCTATTGGGAAGATACACATTAACCAAATAATCGCAGAAATACATATAAATTTACAATTAGTAAGTGGTCACTGGTGTCAGAGATGACTGAGGTAAGGAGTCAGAGAGGTGAAAATTAAACATGTCCATTGAGTTTATTGACAAGGAGACCACTGGTGACTTCAGCAAGCTTTGTTGGTTGAATGACAGAAGTAGAAGTCAAATTACAATTTATTAACTTTCACAAATTGCCCATTGTAAAGGAGATGAGGATAAATTCCCAGTCTCAGCAAAACACATACCATATTTCCCCATGTATAAGACGTACCTTAATTTTGGGGCCCAAAATTTGAAAAAAATGTATTATATAAAGTTATTGAACTCAAGTTTTATTCATCATAAAATTCATACAACTCCTCACCACTGTCAAAACTCCCAACCATTAGCTTGTCCTCATCTGTGACTAATAATGAATCACTGTCTGCATGTATTGCCTCGTCCTCAGTTCCATCTATGGCATTTGAAATCTACAACCACTGTATAAGACGCACCCAGTTTTTAGACCCCAAATTTTTCAAAAAAGGGTATATCTTATACATGGGGAAATATGATAAATATCTGTTCATCACTGTGTATATGAAGTCCTGTTGCTTCCATCTGTTTCACCAAAGTTTAATGTTATGTAATTATAGTACTTAGACGGTCCTTGCATCATTTTACAAATGTGAGCCGGGTGGAACTATTGAAGACCACACAGCTAGCCATCCACGGAGGCAGAAAACTCTTCAGATATGCAGCACACTGATCTTTCCAATGTACTGTGTTCTGGGAATATGTTTCTTTGTTTACATCACTCTGTAATAATTTGTTCTGTTTGTATACCAGTATTTTAATTTTAGACGATGTTTTATAACGTCAAGGAACTTGTTTTTTCATTTTTTGATATTAATATCTATTTCAAGCATATATTATTGTATAATTTACATAATGGCACTTAATCCTTTTCTATAATGATCATATATAAGATACAGTATTCCTGCTACATGGTACTATGTTTTAAAATATAGTTTAGACTGCACAAAATGTGTAGAATTTGAAGTGAAATGAAGGTTGAACTGAACATGGGGCTTATTTCTTTATAATGGTGATTCTTGGTATTTTAGTGTTTGATTAAAATAAATAACACCAGCTTTCCTTAAAATATAAAAAGTAGCATATTCTTTAACTTGCCACTTTGGGGTGTCAGAAAAATCAGAACAGTTAGAACTCACAGTCTATAAAATTTCCAAATCTATTTCAATTGAATTGCAGGGACTGAAAACTACCTAAAGGAAATGATTTGCATGTTTTTCTTTTTATTTTCAGTGAGAAATAGCAATTTCAGTTTAGAATAATAAACTCTGCTCTTATATAACTTTTCCTGTTAGATTTTATAGAGTAAAACAACACTGTGGACTTGAATGCATCACCCAAATGAAGAAAGATGATCCTCAATTTTTCAATTAAGCTCAGTCAAGTCTTTTCACCAGGGTTTGGTTGCAAGCTATATAGTTTCTCCTGGCCCTAATTAAATCATTTCCTTTTGGTGTAGATTGGTTTTCTGAAATTTGAGCTGCATATCCTAAGTCTAGGTGAAAGACTGAACAGTTTTGACCTAATAACTTTGAAAGGTCTCCATGCGAAGCTGGATTTTGAGATTCTGTATGATTAGTGAATTAATGATGTTTTTGGTCATGATGAAGATTTTAATTTAGTATACAGTTGGGACTGGGTGAAAGACCTTTGTAGTTCTTAGCAACCAGCAGTAGAATTCTTTTGTCTATGGGGGTGGGGAGGATTTGGGAAAACAATAGGATAGGAAGAATTCAGGAAATACCTGATTATAGTAAACTGTTATCCATAATTTAGAGCAAAGGACAGAACCTTGGCATTTGGCTCCCTAGAGCATGCAGCCCTCGTTTTCTTGGTGAGTGAATGACTTTCCATCACCCAGGTTGTCCCGAAACGCCCATGAGTATCACTGTTATTTCTCATTGCCTAACCTGTCCTTCCCTGACATACAATAAAATATTTATAAAAATATTTGTAACCTCAATAGACTGGAATTAAAAGACTGCAATTTCCCTGCTTTAGGGAGTAGTTTAAGCCACTAGAAAAAAAAAGTTATACAAATAAATCAAGCAGTTTTGAAAGTGGGCAAAGAATTGGTCTTTCGTCATCGACTGCATCAGTGTCTTGAAGTGGCAACCTGGTTAATGTCACTGTTCTTGATCTTTATTTTGAGAATTAAAACATACTGTCTTCATTTTTAAAGAATTCCTCATTGAACAGTGTCTTTAATATATATGATTAGGTTTGGGAATGGAGATGTCACACAGACATAATTTTCTATATTCTAAATATTATACCTAGAGTCTACCTTTATATCACACATTAACGCTTTACTGCATTTCCCCGAAAATAAGACTGGATTTTATATTAATTTTTGTTCCAACAATCTACATTTATTCATTTATTTATATACAAAAATCTACATTCATTCAGTCATGTCTGGCTGACATTCTTACCTGGTGCTTATGTTTGGGATAGGGCTTATATTACTAGCATCCTGAAAAATCATGCTAGGGCTTATTTCTGATTAGGTCTTATTTTCGGGGAAACACAGTAGATATTGGCAACTACTTTTTTTTTTTTAACCAGTGTTTTTGAAACACAGCTCAGAACAAGAAGATAAATATAGGCATCTTCCCTTTGATCATTCAAAAGCAGATAGCACAAAGTCTATGCACTGATTCAAAGTAAAGCCCTTTGGGTCCCTACCCAAAGATCTGTTTTTTAAAAATTGTTATTTTAGACATAATATCAGTATATTTGTTGAAATCAAGAACACAGCAGATCAGAAGCAGTGAAGTAGGACTGGGCAGGGAGCCTGCTGAGCATTGGTTAGAGAAAAGTGTTAGCTGGTAGTGACAAATGAGAATGAAAAGCAGAGTCAAGAATTAAGTAAAAATAGAAATTGAGACAGTTAATGTACAGACAACAGCCTTTCATTCATAGTGGCCTTTGGCCTGATTCCTGTGTTATAGATTGGTGGTATAAGAATGAATATTCGTATTAATCAGATGACCCAGAGTAGGCAATTGCTTCTTGAATGAGTCATTAGGAAAAGGGTAGATTATACCTGGTTAACTTTATAGCATAAAGGGAGATGTGTGACAGAGTTCCCTTTATTCCAGAAAGATTTTCTTCAAAAATTTATTGTTATTATTATTATTATTATTGTTATTATTATTACATTGTAAATCACACTTTTGGAACTTAAAAGGGGTAAGCTTTAGTTACCTGGAAAATTAACTTTGGGGAATGACCTTATTTTCTGTTAAGTCTACATTAATTAGGAATTACTGTTATTTGAGTCTGCATTTCATATTTGCATTTTTTGTTTATTAGCACTAAGATACTAACACATGAGTACTTACATAAGTTAAATTATTTTTGTTTCTTTTCAATTCCAGAAGTCTCTACTATTTGGGAGCATGTGTCAAATTTTGTGAAACGGCAGCTATCCCTACACAAGGTAGGATTTATGCTTTAATTTTAATGTAGGAGTCCAAAGAATTTTTCTGCCTTAGTCTCATAATTTTTCTGGGAGCAGCATTGTGAACTTTAGGACTACTCTATGATTTTATGATGCTTACACTTGGGACTTGTGAATAATAGATTTAACAAACATAGATTTCATCCTTAGGCAGTGAATTTGTAAGCTCTGCTTTTCTAGTGATATGAAATGTATCACTCATCAGCCTGGGTTTGTGGAAAGTAACTAGATGAATTCTGTTTATGTGTGATCCGATAGTTCCTGGCATAGCTCTAGAAGGATATAATGCCTCTTGTCTTGCCTCCTTGCAGGGAATGGATTTTAATTGAAATATAAGAAGAAAGTCAGGGACTAAACTCAACTTGACAAAAAGGAGAAGCTTTGCCTAGCGATGGACTATTTCCTCCCGTCAAACTTTGAGTTTAGATGCCATAGAACTGGACAGAGATTTGGGGAATTTGGAGGGAGCTGGCAGGTTGTGGGACTTTTATACCCTGCTCAGAGGTCCCAATATAACAGTCCTTGGGCTGAATTCATCCTTCAAGCTTATTTTGTTTGTTCTGAAAATTTGAATTAGTTATCACTACTTAAAATTGGGAGAGTTTATATAAACATTTGGATTTTTTTCTCAAAAAAGTCAGCAGGTTTAGCAATATCAGTTTTGCCATTCCTGTGTGTGACACTTGGCTGGAGCTGACAATGGGCATGCACTCGCTAGCCACCATGTTCTCTGACTGGATACCTTCACTCACCACTGGCTTACATTTTTTCTTGGCCCTTGTAGGCATTTGACTTTGCATTTGACTTTGTAACCCCTGATATAGGGTATTTCTAGGGAGACAGAGATCCAGTTTGAGACCCCAAAGCATTTGCTTCTACCCATCAGCCAAGATCACCACACTGCAGCATATGCCTTGGATGCTAGGTTGTCTGATTTTAAGTGAGGGACACAAAATTTAAGAGAAGGAATAAGAAAGTAGATATTCTCATGACCCCTTAAATTCTCTCCCTCCAATGGCAAATGATTAAAATTTAAAATGTCACACAGTCGAGGACAAGAGAATCTTAGATATAGATTAAAAGCAGTTATGGCATCTGTACAAGCTTTCTGAGTCCTACAGCTTTTGAATGATATGGAAATGAGTGATCTGATGTCAGAAAACACCATGGATTGATATGTTACATTTTATACTAAACTTATTTGAAAACTTAGATCCATAAAATGCTATGGCTGTAAAGGATTGTAGAGATCATTGAATTTTTAAGGGTTAAGCTGAATTCTCTTCATGTTTTTTTGGATACTAGTACTAAGGATTATTTTTCTTCATCCCTTCAATACATTGTTGCTATTTTTTTCCCTTTATTTTTCCTTTCAGGGCGTTCAGATTCCAGGACTTGGAATTTTCACTTTTATGAGACAAAAACTTGAGGTGGGAAACAACAGGTTTATTCTGATTCAGAGGCCCATGTTTATCATGTCGAAGAAGTTAATACAGATCCATGGACTCAAACAAAACAAAGTCTTTACTCCTGGTAAATACATTTAATATTTTAGATTTTCCCAGAGGGTGACTGGCCTGGGGATGAAAACGAAAGGACAAAGCTTGTTTTATTGGTTTCTGATTTGAGGGGCTCACTTTTCACACAGTTGCTTTGGTAGAGGGAGGGGCTAAGGTAGGAAAATACAGTCATCTTGCAGTCCGTTTTAAACCTCAGTAGCTTAAGAGACAGGCATGAGAAGACCTGATATGACATCAAGGCAGATGTATATAAAAGCCGTATCACAGAGTCGTACAGACTTTATTCTTTTTTTTCCCCACCTACCCCCCACCCCCAGACTTTATTCTTATTTTAGACC